CCTTCTGCTGCTTTGCCAGGAGCTGCTGCTGGATGTGCTGCTGAGCAGCTTGCTGCAGTTTGCTGTACTTCTCCATCTCTTCAGGGGTGAAGGTGATGGGCTGGCTCTCCAGTGGTGCTAGGGATGAGTCTTCTCCTTCCCGATCCCCTTCCATGCTCGGCTCCCCACCCTGAGGCACGTAGCCAGGAAAGTGCTCAACATCCGGAACTAAGGGCATCATACTGGTTTCCACTGGGACAGGCTGGTTGCCCCCATCCATGGGTTCCAGCCCATCGCCATCGCTGGGATCCGAGAGGAAGTTGTGTGGCATGACCAGATCTCCAGAGGCAAAGCACTCGGGGAGCGCCGGTGCTTCCAGGGGAACGGGCGGCATTTCCACGGCAGGTTCATCATGTTTCTGCTCATCCAGAGGTTTGTCCTGCATGGCCAGACCCACTTCTTCCAGGAGAGACTGGCCAGCCAACTGCCCCTCCTCCATGCCTTGGGAAGCATCCTCGGAATCTGACAGCTCCTGCTCCTCTCCCCTCTCCAAGCCAGACTCTTCATACCTTCTTGCGTTGGGTTTTCGAACCGTTGGCAGTTTCCCAATTAAGGGGAGAACCGGTTTGTTACCTAAGGAAGGAGGAAGTTTGGGGCCAAAGTAGCCCTGGGGTGGATCTTTGAGCTTTATGCCCACCTTGTTGGGTCCTGCCAGCATCTCGTCAGCGACACTGGGCTTCTTCTCAACCTTCCTGGACTGAACCTTTTCCAGAAGGAGCTTTGCAGTGACCGAGTTCCTCTCCTCAGGACTGCAGTCACCTTCTGAGACCCTCCCAGTGCCAGAGCTGCTGCTGTTGTGGGATCCCAATCCCTTCAGATCCTCTCCTTTGCCATCCTCTTTCTTCAGCGCTGCTCCTTCATTCCGGCCTGCCCGGAAATAGTGAGGAGATTGAGAGCGATAGATTTTGGACCTGATGAAGTCTCTTCTCCCAGGCCTCCTCTCCTCAGGGCTCTCGTGGCCTCGAGAGCCCTTCCGTGACAGGGATCTCTGCGAGTGGCTCCTGGTGCTGCGGCTGCGGTCGCGGCTGTAGCTGCGGCTCCGCTTCCAGCTGCGGCTCCTCCTCTTGCTCCGGCTGCGGCTGCAGCTGCTGCTGCGCGTCCTGCCCCGGCTCCTCGACCTGTCTCGAGGGTGAGTCCGGCTCCTGCTCCGACTCCTCGACCTGCTCCTGCTGGAGCTGTAGTCGTCCTCCGAGGAGGAATATTTGCGCCTCTTGGATCGGTGATTGGAACTGTTGTAGTCAGAGTCATCCTCTGAGTCGTGGGAACGCTTGGAGTGGCACCTGGAGCGGTCGCTGTAGTCGCTGTAGCTGTCGTCCGAGTAGCTCCTCCGCCGGCTGTACCGGCTCTGCTCGGAGGAGGCATCGGAGCTGCTGGAGTAGGACCTGCGGGACGAGCGCCGGCGCCCTGAGCGGGAGCGGCTCCGGGAGCCCTCGCTGCCCGACTCGTAGTCGTCGCTGTAGTGGGAGGGGGATTCCTGCCCCGGGGACCCCTCCTCGCTGTCCTCATCCCTGCTGCTCTGCCGGCTCCTGCGGCTGCTCCTGCCCAGGGACGGGCCCACGCACCGTCTCCTGGAAGCAGGGAACTGCTGCAGCTCAGTCTTGTGTTTTTTGCTGCCATGCTCCGGGCAGGAGTTGCCACCGTCCTCTTTTTTCCCGCTGCTTCCCTCTTCCGCAGACAGAGACTTCCTCTGGGTCTCCTGGGAGCACCACTTTTTCTTCTGGAAATGCCCACACTCTTCAGCCAGTTCCGTCTTCAGCGCCCGCTCCGATTCAGCCGACAGGGAAGATTTGCCTTTTCTGTGTCTGCGTCTTTTCCGTTTCTTGGGTTTCTCTTCCCCCAGGTCAGTTTTCCGGCTCTTCTCATCAGCTTCCTCCTTGTGTTTACGTTTGTGTTTGCTGGACTTTTTGTGCTTCTTTTTCTTTTTGTGTTTATGAGATCTTCCAGATTTACTCTTCCCAGTTACGCTTTTACCACTGTCCTCTTCCTCTCCTTTACCCACACTTGCCAAACTGGAGTCCTGCTTGTTCTGGGAGCCACAGGTGGACAGGGATTTGGTTTCCACTTTCAGAGCAGAACTGTTAGCTGCACTTTCTGTCTCCTTGGCTTTACTTTGCTCCCCAGATTCCACGCTCTGAACATTTTCCTTACAAAGCCCCCCCGGCTCCTTGGATTTCTCTGCCCCTTTACCTTTAGCATCTTTGTTGCGAGAGCTCTTGAAATCAAAATACAGGGGGTTACAACTGTAGGAAACAGATGGTTCTGCTTTGGTAAAGATGAGAAGCTCTGAAGGCCACTGGAGAGTCGTGCTCTCATCTTTACTCAAAACAGGAAAAAAAGGTCCTGTGGGATGCTTTGGTCCTTCAGTGACATCTTTACAGCTTGGGACAGGCTGAGGGGCTTCCTTAGTGGTGTCTGGCTCAGGGAGGTTGCTCTCTGTGTGGGGTTTGCTCTCTGACACACTCACATTTTCTGGGACTTCTTGGGGCTCTGTTTTGCTCTGCTGAGCTGCAGTTTCAGTCATGCTCTGCTCCTTCTGCTGCCCCATGCTCTCTGCAGCCTTCTCGGTGTGCTTGCCAGGTTTGGGTTTTGGAGAGTTCCCCTTTTTAACTTCATTTGTGTTTTTTTTATTCACATTTTCAGCTTCCACTTGTTCGGTGGACTTCATGAAAAGCAGGAATTGAAAATTAGGCTTCACTTTACAATGGGCTGGGGGAATATAGTGGTAGTATTCTGGTTCAACTGCCATTGGTCCATCTTCTCGTCTCATCTTTTTTAGTTTAGATAAGGTAGTGGCTAAAGAGCCACTGTCTTTGTCATGTTGGTCATCTTCCTCTGCCTTGCCATCAGAATTATTTGTGCTTTCACCCTCACCAGATTTCTGCAGGTTCCCTGCATCTGAGGACCCTCTCTCATCAGCTTTTCCTCCATCTGCAGAACTTGATTCTTCCACGTGGTCCTTAAAGACAGAAGCGATGGTCTCGAGCTTTACCGGAGTCTTCTTGGCAAAGGAAAAGGACACCCCGATCTTCTGGAGTGGAGTCCCCAAAGTGCTCTTCAATCCAAAGCTGATACCCTGTCCTGGCTGGGCAGGCGTAACAGTGCCACCCACTTGTCCAGTGTTGAGGAAACCTCTGTCCGTAATCATCTCTGGAGCTTGGCCAGAAGTTGTCTGGATGAAAGAACTGCTGTTGGCTGCAGACTCGTCCTCCTCCCCCCCTTCCTCATCCACGGCCACCGTGGTGGTTCTGAACATGGGTCCACTTCCTGGGGCACTGTGTGGACAGAGAAAACAGCTGAAGAACAGCTGGCTACTTGGGTGCTTCACCTACCCACCTTCTACCCATCCCAAGCACTCCTGCCTTCAGTAAAACAGCTCTATACAAACATCTGCATTTTTCAATTATATTAAATACTGGAAGAAAACCTATTGCTGGATCAAACAATTTGGGGGTGCTCTGAACTACCACTTTAGTGAGTTCACCCCTAAAAAGACAACAGGGTGAGGCCAAATTCAAGTATGAAGCTTTGTCGTCAAAAGTTAGACAGAATTACAGGATCAAGAATTGCAGTGCAGCAGAATTCCTTCACAAGAAGGGTTGTCAGGCTGCCCAGGGAGGTGATGGGAGTCTCCTCCATCCCTGGAGGGGTTTCAAAGCCGTGTAGATGTGGTGCTGAGGGACATGGGTCAATGGTGGGTCACGGGTCCCCTTGGCACGGCTGGGGGAATGGTTGGACTGGATGATCTTCAAAGTCCTTTCCACCCAAAACAATTCTATTGCTCTAAAGGGCCATGGTCCCAGGCAGAGGTGTCCTGGGGTGCTGGGGATCCCCCACACTCACCACTCAGGCTGCCTCCTCTGCTCAGCCAGCTCGTGCAGACGCCGAAGGGCCTTCTCCTGCTTCCTCTCATCCTTCCGTGACCTTGAGGAGACATTGCGAGCAAACTCCCTCTGCTTGAGATCCTTCAACCTCTGAGGCAAAAGAAAGCAGGAACAGGTCAGATCAAAGCAGTTTGTGGTTAAGCGTCTAAAGGTGTCTCTTTGCTGTAGCACTGGAAAGTAAAGCCCCTCCCCAGGAACATTTATTGAGCTGGGATGGAGCAACAGCATCTGAGCTCAACAAACCAAATGGAACACGTTGCCATCCTTCCAGTAGCTCAATGAGAAGACAACTGGTGATCACTTTTGGCTACACCAAGTCTTTCCAGTCCACACGACTGGTTTTCTTTAGCATGTGCAACAAAGCTGATCCCAAAGCAACAAGCAAAGTCTGTAAGGAAAAAGGGGAGGAGGGAGGAAAATAAGGACTGTTTACTTTGCTGCTCTTACAAGGGTGTGCAAATGTACTTGACAAACAGTGCATGACAGAAGTCTTAATAGCATGGGCCAGGGAACAGAAAGGGATTAGCTGGTGCAAGAGTTCCCCAGGTATTCAGTCTTACAAAAGCAATGTACAAATTACATTGGAGAAGGTGCCAAAAATCCCATGCAAATGATTCCAGTCAGCAAATAAATCATCCAACATACACCACAAACAGTTACTTGCTTTCCTGACAGTAGTTCTGAGCTGGTGCCTCCAGAAACAAAATGCTCTAAAATGCAGTGGGGTCTTTTGGGGGTTTAATACTTCAGAGGGGAGAAACACTAAGTTCCCCAGAAATCTCATGCTGTGAGGAAGCAAACCCAAAGCCAAGGAATTTCAAACACTGGAAGGAAAATCAAGATATCCAATTCTAACAGAGATTGAACATCCCAGACTTCAGAACGGTTTTGAAAGTCCTTGTTTCAAAGCCCTAGGAAAGAGGCTGATGTTTGATCCTCTGAATACATGTGAAAATTCACAAGGCATTTTTAAGAGGGTGCTGTGCAGAAGTTTAAGTACCAGAAAGCAGCAAAGAAAGATCCCTGCCATCCTGAGGGATTCATTTTTCTTTTTTAGTGCACAATTTGAAACCCTTTCAAAAGGCCCAATTCCAGCCAGCCCCACGTCCCCAGCTTTTGAAAACAGTCTCCTGGTTTCCAGGCATTTCCTGAAGGTCCTGACAGACTAAGAGGACTCAAGGTAGTGGTCACTGCAGGAAAATTCTCCTACCAGATGTACAAATCATGGGTGAATTTTAAATATAGCTTCTGGCTGGCTGACTCTGCCTCTTTAATGGAGCAGGGTCAGACTGGCACACACAGGAACAGTGGATCTGAAGCCTAACCCAGAGGTCAGATTAGAGGAATTAAGTTGGCCCAATGTAAAGAGAACATTGCTTTGTGAAAAAGGGGAAGATTTGACAAGACAGAGGATTCTCTTACCTAATTGTATTTACTAAATGTGGTTGGGAGCTACCAAAATCAGAGGGGAGGACACACAAAAATGACAGCTAAAGACACTAGTAGAAAGAAACTCACTCTTGTGATCTGGGCTCCAAAATTAGAAGGGTTTGCTTTCAATACATCAGCTGAAAACATCACATCACAAAGAAAAAAAAAGAAAGTAAAAATATAACAGGAGTGGAAAAGAGAGGAGAAAAAAAATAGATATATATATAAAAAGCAAAGTATTTCTAGAGAGGTTGTGGATGTCTGTGAGCTGCTCTAGGGAGGAGAAGCAGAGGCAGCAGAACTACAGGGCTGAGCTGGGGGGGCTGAAGCAGAGGGGGGACACGTACACATGGACACACAGACACAGCAATGATCCCACCTGGAATGACAGAGCTACTTTCACCAGGACAAGTAAAGGGCTCAAGGGTTTTGTGGTGTATGTTAAATATTGAATTGTGATTATTTTATTTTTTTTTTCCCCAAGAGGGAGGGAGGAAAAAAAAAAAAAAAGAAGCTGGCCTAAGCAATGCTACCAGCTTTTTCATGCTGATTTAAAAGCAGATCTAAAGTGCTCCAGGAAGTTAAAGTCACCAACAGCTGACCAAACTATTCAGATGGGGATTGATGCCAAGTCTCTACATCACTCATCCATTTGGAAAAAAATACGAGCCAGCTATTTCCAACCAAAGTGAACTGTGACCTTTTACTTGCAGGATGAAGGTGCCATGGAGCACTCCAAAACCCAGCTCCACCCCCAGACATAGCCTGAAACATCCCCCATGAAATCCAACAGGCTTAAAGTTTGTTGGTAAGGATGCAGGTGCCCACAACACAGTCCTGCCCTCATTATAATGGACAATTTTAATGAAAACAGAATTAAATGCTCAGTTCCTTAAATAATGACCCTTGTGGGTCCCTGCTCGCCCAAACTTCCCACTCTTAACACTTAAAAATTAGAAGGGATGAAGCAAATGAACTATCCTGATGTACTGCAACTCCAGAACGCACAAGAGCTCAAATCCTGGGGTCAGTTCTGGGCCCCTGGGGACAAGAAGGACACGGAGGGGCTGGAGCGTGTCCAGGGAAGGGCAAGGAAGCTGGGGAAGGGCCTGGAGCACAAGTGTGAGCAGGAGCAGCTGAGGGAGCTGGGGGTGTCCAGCCTGGAGACAAGGAGCTGAGGGGAGACCTGCTGGCTCTGCAGCTGCCTGAGAGGAGGTTGGAGCCAGGGGGGGTCGGGCTCTGCTCCCCAGGAACAAGGGGCAGGAGCAGACTGCTCTCCAGATGGGTGGATGGATGATCTCCAGAGGTCCATGCCCATCCTACCACCTTTTACTGTCCTTAACCACTGGAAGAGACTGCCCAGGGCAGGGGGGGAGTCCCCATCCCTGGAGGGGTTTCCAAGCCCTGGAGATGGTGCTGAAGGACATGGGGTAGTGGTGGCTTTGGCAGGGCTGGGGGAAGGGTTGGGCTGGATGATCTTCAAGGTCTTCTCCAACCAGAACAATTGTGTCATTCACACTTAACTGCTGCCTGGTCCTTTTGAGCCAATAAACCACTGATCATGGTTTCAAGACTGCTGAGAATTGATGCCTTCCCTAACTGGGGAAAAGCAGGTCTGATTTTACAAAGCTGAGTTTATAAAGGACTGAGAGATCTCAAGGCTGAGTTTCTTTTAGTCACAGAGGGGCAAGGAGTACGAGGTGTCTTGCTGGGTAAGTTTAGGATAGAAAAGTGCCACAATGAATCCCAGAATGGTTTGTGTGGAAGAGACCTTAAAGATCATCCAGTGCCAACCCCCCTGGGGGGAGGGGGACACCTCCCACCAGCCCAGGTTGCTCCAAGCCCCATCCAACCTGCCCTTCAACACTGCCAGGGATGGGGCAGCCACAGCTTCCCTGGGCAACCTGTTCCACTGCCCATGATATCTCCTTGGAAATGTAAAATATGGAATATCACCCAGCTCAGCATCTTGGACTGACCTAAAATGCTCCATTTCTCATCAGAAATTATTTCTCGACTTTGCAAGAAGCCAAGTTCCAACAAACCTGGCTGGAGTCTTCCATCCTACATAAAAAGCAACCTGGAGTGGGGGTAGTGGGGAAAACAAGACCAGACTGCTCAAGTGTAACAAAAAGTTTGGCCCAGGAACAGACCCCAAAGGCTACAACCACAGGCAGCTGATTAGCACTTCACTTTTAAAATAGCCAGAACTTATCAAAACATCCTGTCAGAGCAACCCCTTACTTCACTAATTGTGTAATTGAATCCAGTAATTTATCCTTGCCAGAAGCAGCTGATAACCAGTTAACAACAATTTCACAGCAGTAACAGGAGTGTATGGAAGCACCAAAATGCTTTTCAATACACTCCAGGTCTCAGCCTCCCCAGAAAGCTATTTGAACTAAATTGATATTTAAGCCAGGCTTAGACTAAAGAAATTTCCATCTAATCCTTAGGCAAGTGTTCATTATTCTAATCCCACAAAATCTCTAAATTACTTTTTGGACTGCACCATATGTGTGGGTGTTCACAGAGGCTGGGCAGGCACAGCTGCCCCTTTCCTCCCCCCACAGCAGAGAAATTTAAAGAAGATTTGAATGTAGCCACTCAGTCATCCTCAGGGAGCTTCTCCCCATCAACTCAGGAATAGAAACCCTGGGAATTCATCTTCTTGGGGTGAAACCAGCCTTTTTTTAGCCTTCCCATGGCACTGAGCAAGACTTCAACAGGATCAGGGCCAGCACTCTATTAAATCAAACATCCAGCTTCATGCTTCTACAGGATTTGAAAATTAGGAAGCTTTTTTTCCTTGAGAGGCAGAGTGTTTTCTGAGGAAGCAGAACACTCTTCCAAGCAGTGATGCATTTACAAACTGCAGGATGATGGTGACCAGGAAGCCAACAAATATTCTTCTGTTGGTTTATGACTTTGAGAAGGGTCACACCAATAAGCCCAGTGACAAAGAAATCACTGGTGTAAAGTTTGCCCAGATTTCTGCAGGCTAGAAGCAGTTCTTCACTACCTCAAGCCACCCTTCAGCTTGGTATTGTGCTTCATTATGAGCTGCCACCCACCTCAGCTTTGTAACCAAGAATAGCACCTTAGGTTTTCAGCCTTGTTTCTCAGAAAATGACTAATAAGTCTCTACATTTCGACAGGAAGTGTAAATGGAGCTCTTGAAGGACAGGTTTGATAGAAAAATCACTACTCCAGCACAAAGAAAGCTGCAGGAATGGATTATCTCCCCATCACTGCATTGCTCAGGAGGAGCCAAATGGGCACACAATGCCATTATCTTACAATGCTCCTCAAATCAGCTTCCATAAGCTGCACTCCCACATCATTTCGAAGCTCTGGAGATATCCCAGGGCAGGAGTGTGAGGTGGTTGAATGAGGGGAGGGATCAGGATGCAGAAATTGCTGTAACAGGAAAAAACTCAGTGCATGCTGTGGGAACTGTGCATGAGGTTTTTTGGTGGTGAGCTGGGACTGAGGTGAGACCTCCCCTGTACCAGCCTGCAGGGTGCTGCTCTTCAGCTCAGGACCAGCAGTGAAGGGGCTTTCTTAATCTAAGTTGACAAAGCCCTGTATTGTACTGAAGTGAGGCCCATTCTTTGCCTAAAATTGATCCTGCTCTTCTCAGATAACAAAAGCTCTCAGCTACACTGCTTTCCTAGACCTGAAGGTGGGAGACATTCCTGACAAACCTGATTTTGAGGAGGAACAGCCTGGATCCAGGTACAGCCAGAGACAGGAGGCAGCTCACGTGTCAGAGCCTGCTCCTCCCCTGCCATTGTTCTCAAGCTTCTCTGCCAAACCCCATTAAATAAAATAATAATCTGCTTTTCATGACATGCCAGCAGGTTTCTGGCTTTCTGAACTTTTGATGCATGCTTGGTTCTTTGCCACAAAAGCTTCTGGAACTACATCAGGAGCTAACTCTGAGCTCAAAGGATGCCACCTTCAAGATTTTACAGAAGTGAGAACACAACTCCTGCTTATTTTTGGGAATTCACATTCTTTGCACACTCCTCAATGAAGTGCAAAGAGCAGGGGGGGAAATGGCACACAACTGCACTTTTATTTCATCTCAGGTTTCTCCCCTGACACCTCCTTTTCAGCTTAGGAAAATATCCCATATGTTAAGGCACCACAGATAATTCAACACACCAGCCTGCCTGCCCTTCAGGAACAATCCCTCCTAATCACAACGTCCAGGTCTTGCACCTTGGAGACTTACTGAACTCTCTCCATGTATCAATTCCCCACATGTATTTGCCATCAGAAGTGAAGCAGCTCAACTGTTAAAACTGGGTTAAGAAAAACACTGTGGGTTTTTCAAGGGTGAAGCATTTCCAGAGTGGAAAAGCCTCCCACAAAACACTAAGTTTCCCACACCAAGTATCTTGGAGATTCTTTCCTTAGTTTCCTACATCCATGTTGTGCTTGAAGAGAAAAGTTTTTGGAGAGCACAAGCCCAACTCTCCCCAACATTGAAAGATTAGGGTTTGGATTTAAGGTACTCAGCAGCCCCAGAAGTGCCTATGTTGGTAATTTTTATTGTGCTTGAACAGATCCCTACCCCTCTGCATTAGAAGCAAAGACCCAGATAATTAGGGACTGAAGAGAACTGCAGATCTGTAGTTTCAATTCTTGGCTCCACCCTCTTTCCCAAATAACTTATTTATGGAAATATATCCCCTTTGTCCTTTTAGAAAGAGAATCTACACAGAATTAATCATCTACACCTCCAAAACACCACATATATTAAAAAAAAATGAGATGAAAGCCCCACAAAAGCCTGCATTTCAATTCTGGTTCGTGTTCTCCCAGTTAACCTGGCAAAAGTTCACACAGGAATAGGTTTGTTTTTCACACTCCATTCAAAAGGTGAATGTTTTTATTGTGTAGGGTCAGTGACTCAGTAAACAGCTCAACCCTTCATCAGGCTTGCTAGCAGGAAGGAGGTGACTGTACAGGAGATTCCTAAAGTTCTTGGACGAAGTAAAAACACCAGCACAGTAAAAGCTGACTGTAAAAGCTACATTGCTTATACAGAAGAGAATTCCAAGCACAGCAATTTTTCCAAGCTGCTCCAAGTGATGGGGGATACAGATTTGGTTGCTTTGGTGGGAGCACACAAGCTGGGCACAACCCCAGGTGAGGTGACCCACACCCATTTTCACACAAACCTCACCTGAAGGACAATCTTGCTGTCAAACCCCCAAACTGAATTAAGGGCCCCCTCAGATGCAACGCCCTGAGGACACATTCCCACCAAGTCCAGGGTACTCAAGAACTGTGGGAGCCCTCAAACACCTGGACATCACCTATGCAAACCTGCAGGAAAGCAGCACAAGCCCACACTGGGTCCCTTTTCACTATGCAAGCTCCTTGCCAACTGCAGTTTTCTTTCTACATTTGCCTTCTTGTGCATTTGTCTGCTAATTACTATTAAACTGTTGACAGTCAGGCCTGCACAACATCAAAGGGGGGTGTCCTTCAGAAGCTCCCAGTCCTTCTAGCTGCCAAACTCAAGAGCTTACAGCTAAAAAAAAAAACAACATGAAAGATGACAGTAGCTTTTCAGGGTACAGCAAGTGATGACATCTATAGTTACAGTCTTTTCCAACTGCCCACTGAAGGGTCTTTAAGGGATCTGAGTTTGTTTTTCCTCTCACAGTGCCATCTGTATGAACTGGAGTTGCTTTTAGTCCTCTGGCTTCCCCTGAGAGGGCCTGACCATTTGGTGCACAGATAGGGTTACTGTTCTTTAAAACATCTGTACTTCTCATTTTCAACTACCAGCCTCTTGTAAAAAACACTAGAGAACAACATTGCACAACTCCAACAAGATGTTTCAATGACAACAACTTCAACAGGCCAATGGTTTGTGACAATAAATTGAAGACTATTTTCCCAGTTCAGGTAATCTAGTAATTACTGCCTTGAGGATAGAAACTTGGTGTTGAGGTCAATTCAGACATTTCCAAATGCTGTATGAAACCAGTGTAGTTGGGAAATAATCATAAAACCTTCCCTTTAATTGTTTGGTATTGACAAGTTGGTGGGTCCAAAATTTATCCAGTAGGGATCAACACACTTACCTATTGTCCCTGTTTCGCAATAATCCTGAGCTCCTTCCTGGAATACAAGACAGTGTCTTTATAACTTGGGAGCAAGCAAGGGATCTGAGGATGGAACATCTGTTGACAGGGACAGTCTAATGCTCACTGAGCCACAGAAGGAATAAGCAAACACTTCAACAGTGTGGGTTTGTGGAACTAAAAATACTTAAAAGCAAAAATGATCCCGTGGAAATGTGTTCAACAAGCTGAGAAAAAGGAAAAACCAAAGCAGTTGCCTCAAGAGTTACTGCTGAGAAGACAAAACATTGCAGATAATATATACCAAGCCACTTGCTCTACTTCTTCAGGGTTCTGTCATGTCTCATCTTTCCAGGAAAGCCTACTTGTACGAAAGCTTCATGTTTTTCCTCCAAAAAATACCTTAGCCTTGGTGTGACCTTCTCCAGAGGGCAGGGGTGAAGCACCAACGTGTTAAAACTCCCCTGAAACTTAGAACGGATGGGTAGAAACAAGCCTGTCTGGTGTGGTAATGAACAGAAGTGAGCTCGTGTCACTTATGCAAATCTCCCTTCATGATTTCTAGGTAGTTTCAAGTTCCCTGCCTGAGCACTGACCCACGAGGGTGACACACATTTCAGCAGTTGGACAAGCAATTTTTTTCCCTAAGCAAAGCACGATTGCTTCTTTGTTCAAATCCCTGTGTAACCAGAAATTAATGCTGGGTGATGTAAGCAGAGTTTTGGAGGCTCATTTTTTTCTCCAAAGCCTGCCTGAAGTTACTGCAATGGATGCAAATTACCCAAGAACATAAATTCCTTGCAAAATAATCAGCAGTACCAAGCAAACCCCAAATTCATTGCATCAATGAGAAGATTAAGCCACCCTGTGTGTCCCCAAGACATTTCCCTTTCAGATCACTCCTCCTGATGACTCCTTTCATTCCAACGAAGGGTGGTTGCTTTCCACAGGTTTGTTCCTCCTTCCACAGCATCTCTAGATGCTAGAAGAACTCTCAGCCTTGCCAACCTCATGTCAGTCTCCCTATTCATCACCCAAGGGCTTTAAACAGGAGGGGACATAATCACACTGCTTCACCACACCATAAGAATGTGACACAAACAGGTCCTGCCACCTCCTGAACAGATGCAGACAAATTGCACTCAGGTTTCATCCAAGCTGATGGAAAACTACAGGTGAAGAGCACACTGCTCTCAGGTATCACCACTGACTGTGCCACCAGCCTGGTCCAAGCAGCCTGTGTTCCCAATGCCAAGTAAATTAATTCATCTCTGCTCTTAATTCCAGGAAACCACAATTCATCACAGCACTCAAACAAAAAAACTGCCCCTCTGTGAGAATTCCTGTTAAGACTCCCTTGGTGAATTTCCTTGGAACTATCATACCCAATACTTAATACACAGGAAAAAAAAAAAAATCATCATACTTTGTCAAGCCATATTCTTGTTTTTAAGCTGTTGCTTCACTGCTGTTTGGTGAGGTCTGAGATTCTCCAGCACACCCTCCAGAAGTTACCAGTGTTTTAATAATAGAATTGATGACTAGGAATATCAATACACCTTCTTTGAGCAATTTCCTCTCTAGGTGAGCACAACACTCCTGTCTGCTGGACATTTGCATCTCATTCAGCAGCTTCAAATGGTCAAACATATCAGATTAACACCTGAACTTTCCTTAGTTACTGGGCAGTACAAAGTATCATGTAGATACTACAAGTACATCCCTACCTTGGGACCAAAGCCAGTGCCATTCAGATTCCAAATCCAACTTCTCCTGAGGGTTACAGGATTTGGGAAGTGCTCTTGTTTTACAATTAATAAAGCCCATATTTCCTCATCTTTTTGCAGTAACTCAACAGAACACAGAGCAAAGATGCACACATGGGGCATCACCACCCTCCAAAGTTATACTGCATGAAAAGCTGATGCAAACTGGGATTCATCCATACCCACGTGCACTCTTCCCAGTTTAACAGCAGCCTGTTCCTGCTTGTGGGTCATTCAGAAGTAGGCTCCTTGATGCCAACCCAGAGCTGAGTCTTTTTTGTTCATTGTTTTGGGGTTTTTTGAAATATATAGTGGGCATAAGGATCTTACCCAGCGACATAAAGCACCTATTCCTGGGGCTATAAGCAAAAACAGAGTCACTGGGGAAATTCAAAGTATTAACCACAAACAAGACCACTGCAGTGAATACAAAACTGATGAACTGTGCTATCAACACTTGATTACCTGCTTGTGAGCATGATCGTAGGAGTTTATGTGGTTGTCAAACTCCTGATGCTTTTGGTACTGCTTGTCACAGAGTTCACAGTAGAAGTTTGCTCTGAGGTCTTCCAAAGCCTTGGCAATTGCCTTTTCTTTATCCACATAATCCTACAAAATGAATAAAGAAAATTAAAATGCTTCTGTAAAACTTCCTGTAAAACAAACTGGAAGATCACTAATTAATCCTTTAGGGGAAAATAGTCTTTAAGAGAACCTGAGCATGCAATTATATTTATTAAGCTGAACACCTTGGAAAATTAAAAGGTATGAAGGATAACTCTGCAATACCAGCCTACCCTTACTTGGTTTCCTAGCACAGAGCATAACCCTGTCATTAGCACAGGTATCAGTAAAAGCAGGTTGCTTTAAAAAAGCAGTCTTGTGCTGATGGCAGGAAGGCAGGTTTGTGGCTGCAAGAGGAGAGCTTGCTGAGCTGTCTTGAGATAAAACCAGAGGGTCAAAGCCTCAAGCTAACTCGTAAACCAACCCAGCAGTTGCCTGCTCACATAAGCTGCACGAAATGCACATCAACCACAGAGGATCACTGCTTTGGGAACAGAATCTTGCAACTTTAAATGCTGATACTTCCTCCATTTTGAGTGCTAACAGATGTCTGCTTGATCTCAGTTTGTCTGCAATTCAACAGGGAGTAACATGGATCCGTGGCTGGGCAAGCACAGCTCAGAAACTGCCCAGCCCAATTCTCTCCCCTGGAACCGTCCAGGCAGGGAAACCTTCCCAGAAGAAATGCTGTGCAGCAGCTCAGCAGTGACCACGCTGGGAGTGGGCCTAGGGAGCTGCCAGGCAATGAAGGAAGGGCAGGGAGATCACCTTAGAGGTTGCAAAGTGTTTTTCTTTCTGTAATTCAACGTGTGTCAGTGCAAAACCAAAGCCCTGAGGTGCCTCAGTTGGCAGCACTCACATCCTCCCCTCTTTGCTCCACAGCAAAGCAGCAGCTTTTGGATTTTAAGTGGCAAAAAGCTCTGGGACTCTGGAAATCCCAGTGCCTCAAGTGGCTGTGATGGCTGGAAGTCTGAGTGCCTGGATGTGAGCCCATCGTGCTGCTCCAAGGGATGTCCCCAGGGCACAGCCCCAGCCCCCTGGGCGGCTCTGAGACACATGAAGCAGCTTCCCCCTCCAGCCACTTCAGTTCCAATCCCACCACCAACATGAATAAAATCGTCCTTCTTCACAAGAAACCTGGGGAAGTTTTGCTTTCACAAAATGGAAGCACCCCTCCTGGTGCATCTTCCAAATAAAAGCTCCAAGGGCTGCACTACAAAGCAGGCTGCCCTCACAGTCACTTGCCATCTGCATTTCAACTGGAATAAAAATCAATGATGAAAGAAAAAAAGAGCTTAACATTTAAGAAAAAGCACCTGAGAGATTCTGCCTTCAATACAAACTTCTTATGGGAAATTTCCTTGCATTACCAAGAGCAAACATTTAGAAGAGATTTAGTATGAAAACGTTTTTCTTTTATTTAAGGCCTTCTTCAAGGCAATGTGGTTTATCACCCAGTTACCACATCAACATTACATTAAAATAATATTGCTGAGCCTGTTCTCATTAATGCAAAATTCATGTCTAAAATTTCAACACCCAGAGGGGGATGAAACCTGAAAAATTCTACTGCTAACAGGGTTTTTTTCAGCTTAAAGCACCTTCTAAATAAAAAAAATAAAATCTATTTTAACTTCCTGCTTCCACCCACTACTGGAGGCCCTTGTTAAGAAGAAAAAAAACAACAACAAAACTATCTAGAGGTTTGAGCCTGAAGCAGGTCCCCGGGAAGAGAAAGGAAAACAGCAGTGTGAGATCCACAGAACAATATTTCAGGTTCCTCTGAAACCCCAACAAGCTTCCTGTGCCATGTGCAGGATTTTTTCAGGCAGCATCCTGTGGCTAAACAGTAAACCAGCCATTTGCTGATCAGAATCTATACAAAAGAAGAGAATTGAAGACCATTTCTTGCTTGCTTCTTGGCTGCAGAGTTATCTGAAATTCCTTTGAGGTTCTCTGAATGGCTCATCAGGATGCAATTATATAATGGGCTCCTGCAGAGCCAGGGAGAAAAAAAGATGCTTGCAGAGATTTTCCAGAGATTAATACAGAAATGCAGTGATAAAGTGTGCTCATAAAAACACCTCTGAGTCGGGATTAGACTGCTACTTCTTCAGAGGTCCTGAAAGAAAGAATCTGTGCTGAATAACAGCAGGAAGACAAACCAGCATCAGAGAGAGACCAACACGGGTTCAACTGTCTTTGAAAAGGCAACAGCAGAACCCAAGAACTGAACTACAAATCACTCTGCAGACCTGAGATGACAGAGTCACAGAGTGGTGGGGGTGGGAAGGGACCTCTGGAGATGATCTAGTCCAATGCCTGCCAGAGCAGGATCCCCCAGAGCAGATCCCACAGGAACACGTCCAGGAGGGCTGGGAATGTCTCCAGGGATGGAGACTCCCCCACCTCCCTGGGCAGCCTGTCCCAGGGCTCTGCTACCCTCCCAGCAAAGAACTTCCTCCTCATCTTCAGCTTGACCCTCCTGGGCTCCAGTTGGTGCCCATTGCCCCTTGTCCTGTCCCTGGGCACCCCTGGGAAGAGGCTGGCCCCATCCTCCTGCCACCCCCTGCAGATATTGATCAGCACTGAGCAGATCCCCCCTCAGCCGCCTCCTCTCCAGGCTCAACAGCCCCAGCTCTCCCAGCCTTTCCTCCCAGGCAGATGCTCCAGCCCCCTCAGCATCTCAGTGCCCTGGGCTGGACTCTCTCCAGCACCTCCTTGTTCTTCTGCAACTGGGCAGCCCAGAACTGGGCCCAGTTCTGCAGATGGGGCCTCCCCAGGGCAGAACAGAGGGGCAGGAGAACCTCCCTGACCTGCTGGCCACGCTTTTCTTGATGCCCCCAGGATGGCATTGGCCTTCTTGGCCACAAGGACACATTGCTGGCTCATGGTCAGCCTGTTGGCCACCTGGACCCCCAGGTGTTCTTCCCCAAACATCACCACATGCAGTTGACACAGGGATCCTACCAGATATTCTGAAACAAAGAAATACTTTCTGCTCAACAGCTGCTGCTGCCTGCAGGGGCTGCAGAAAGAGAACCAGGCTTTTCTCTAGGGCTGTTCTTCCAAAAACAGGAGCAAAGCACACAGAGGAAGCCTCCCTGCTCTCCTGTAGCTTTTAAGTAGTGAAATAAACACCAAGAATAATTCAAGGAAGTGAATAAGCAGTTTGTTAAAATAGAAATCTCAATAATTACAAAAATAGAATATTTAATTCCTACTACCCCAGCCTATTCTTCCCCTCTGCTCAGGCCTTGTGAGTACTGGAGAACTGTGTCCAGTTCTGGAGCTCCTAACAGAAGAAGGACATGGAGCTTCTGGAGAGAGTTCAGAGAAAGTCATGGAGATGATCCAAGGGCTGAAGCAGCTCTGCTCTGGAGACAGGCTGGGAGAGGTGGGGTGTTCAGCCTGGAGAAGAGAAGGCTCCAGGGAGACCTCAGAGCAGCTTCCAGTGCCTGAAGGGGCTCCAGGAAAGCTGGGGAGGGACTTGGGACAAGGGCAGGGAGGGATGGAATGAGGGGGTTGGATGAAAACTGGGAGAGGAAGATTGAGGTTGGACATGAGGAGGAAATTCTTGGCTGTGAGAGTGGTGAGAGCCTGGCCCAGGTTGCCCAGGGAAGCTGTGGCTGCCCCATCCCTGGCAGTGTTGAAGGGCAGGTTGGATGGGGCTTGGAGCAACCTGGGCTGGTGGGAGGTGTCCCTGCCCATGCAGGGGGCTGGATCTAGGTGATCTTTAAGGTCCCTTCCAACCCAAACCATTCCATGACTCTATGACATAACTGTATGGTTCTGTCAGAACAAATCCTCTTGCTTTCAGCCTGTGGGAATTTGGATGTTGATGCCCCCATGTCAGTACCTTGTATTTCTGCCTCAGCTCCTCAGTGTCTTCTTTCTCCACCTCCAGCACCCGCCTCCGCTCCGTGGCATCCTCGGCATAGTCGAGCTTTTCAAAATAAATAAAAGAAACCAATAAAATATAATAGAAGATACAATTTGTCCCACAAATAGTTTGCACTACTGAGACTGCCAGAATGTGTAATTTTAAAAAGATGAGGCCTGAAAGAGAATCTTTGCAGATCATACTTCACTTTCCCCAGTGTCACCCGCCAGTGTGACCCCCATGCCCAACGGCTCATTGATCCCTCCAAGGTGGCTCCTGGCAGGTCTGTCCCCTGTTGGTGGCAGCCTCAGCTCTGTGGAAGTGAAATCACAAAGCTCAGGAATTCTGGATAGCACCCAGCCCTCTGAACTCAGCTACTCCTGGGAAGAACCATGACTATGTCTTTTGAGAAGTGTCTTCTTCCTGTGTTACGTGCAAATTTTTCTTTACCTTTAAGATACAATTTGTCATTTTTACATTTCTTTAGAGCCAAGCAAGGAGGGGCAGGGAGCAGGGCAGGAGCTGGGTGAGCTTACCTCCATCTCCATCCTCCCCATGCCCATGACATCATACTTGACAACGATAGGGATGGGATCTGTCCTCCCTGCAAGAGGAACACACACACAGGGGGTCAGGAGCTGGTCTGTCACCACAGCTCGCTTTACACATTGGGTTTGGGTGGTTAGAGATCTTGCCTTGGAGTGCAGAGACCAGAAAGCTACAGTGAACCAAACACGAGCCATTCTCACAGCTTACAGCCAAACCTGCTGCTTAGCTCAAACTGCTCAGTTAGATTCACCCCACGTGCTGATCAATCGTGTTTTCTGAACATTAACTGGTCATGTAAAACATACTGGTGGTTAATGTTCAGTCATGCCCAGTCCCAGGGCAGGGTTGTTACAAGGACTTGAGAAATCAACCTTCTCCTTTGTGCTTCCACATCAGGCAATACATTCTCCCCATCTTCTGATGCAAGTGAGAAAACGATTAAATTCATTTTACTGCTCTACCAACATTAATAATTGAGGAGGACTTTCCTGTAAGAGATGTGGAAGCCTCCCCCCCACCAACTTCTGTCCCTTCCCAAGAGCAAGGAAAGCTGACTGGGAAGTGTAGCACAGAAGCCAAGCTGCTTTCATCCAAAAAGACCTCCTGGTGCAGGCCAGGTGGTCAAACACCTGCTTCCCCAGCTCCTGCACAGATGCTCTAGTGCTCCCCGTGTCTCCTGTAAGCTGTGAAAAGGACTAGTTGCAAAGAAAATTGACTTTGAACTAATCAAACTACGCTGGAGATTTTTTTTTATTTGTTTAAAACATCTCTTTAATCCACTCATAACCAGCCAAACAAAGCAAAATGGGGCAGACAAGCACTTTACTACCACAGCTTTTTGGGGTTTTTAAAAAATTATTATTATTATTTTGATTTTTACATCACAACTGGTGCTGTTGGTTGTGATGTAAGCCCACTGAAAAAAGTACTTACCTTACCGGGTGCATACCTTGAGTGAAAAAACAGAGTGTTTACTTCCCTTATCATTGCTCTTGGATTGGTGTAAACAACTGTTTTGTTATACACACATACACATATATTATACCTTTGGGCTACAAGATCTACAAGTTTTCATCTTGCCAAAAATAGTCCATTGCCATCCACATGTGCAAAAGGCTGGAGGCTTTAAAAGTGCCTCAGAAAACCTGTGTAGGCATCAACTTCTCTCTTCTCCAACATCAGCTTTCTCCAATTCCTGCAAAAAGCAACAGTCCACAGACCTCAGACTCCACAGAGTCTTCAAGAGGAACCTACTCTGGTCAGATTGGTATCTTTTGAATTCTTAAAGTACAGAGGCATGTGTTTACTTCAGAAACAAGTTCATTTCATGAATTACTTGATGGTTTTGTTGATACGCCTGTAAGTTGGACAGGCATATACCCACCAAGGCCAGAAATACTGGTTGTGCTGAGCCAAAAGTGTTGGAAATTGAGCTTTCATTTGGGTGTTTCAAGTGGTCTCCATTTGACAATCTCTCTCACGCCCAATGGTATAATAAAGTAAGCAGTGACTGCAATTTTTAGCAAAAGGACCAAATCAAAGACAGGTTATAAAAATGACTTCCTAAGTGCAATATCACTTTCATAACGTCTCAGCCAGGGATTTACTGGTAAGTGGTGAACCCAAATGGAATGGCTGGCAGCAACTGCCAACAATTGATATTAATTTATTCATTAATTTTTTTTGCCAAGCTTTTTTTTTGTTTGTTTGTTTTGATTTGTTTTGGTTTGTTGTTTTGGTTTTTTTCTTTGTTTCTCCAGCAATCCAGATCTTTTGATGCAGCCTCATTGCCCTGGTAAACCCCTGTGTACAAACAATGCATCAGTACTTTTGCCTTCTAAGGCAGTCAAAGTTTGGTTTTGTTTTTCAAAATCTATTTGGAAATTGCAGTAGCAAGTGCTAGTGCCCATCTTGGGGGAGGGGGAAAAAAAATAAATCAAGTTTGGACAGTATTAGAAATTTACGTTTAAACTGATTTTGGCAGTTCTAACACAAACAGAAACATCCCTTCTTAGCAATACCCTTTAATGAACAAGGATCAGACAAGTGTGCATAAAGAAAGGAAAGGAAAGGAAAATGAAAGACCAAGCAGAAGGATGATGGCTACAACAGAGAAAGTAAGCCTAACATATTGGTGCACTGATGACAAAAGGAGTAATTCAGTCTGAAAATAAAAAATTACCACTGCTAAGTTTACCATCACCACAACAAGTCCAGGATCATAACGCTGTAAAAAAGAAACACCATTTGTTAGGCAGAAACCATCAGGGGCAGAAAACAGGCCGTTTGTAGTAGGCAGGTAGGATGGGTTAAAAAAAAGATGATACAAAAAAAATCATACGAGGCTCCTTCCTCACCCCTCCACCCCATCACCATGCTCTGCCCGGTGGAATCAGGGAGCAGGAAGACTTTGAGCAGTTGAGTTTTGTTTCCAGAGCTGTGCTGGCAACCTGAAATTTCGGGGTGCTGGAAGAGGCTGAGCTCCTGGGGATGGTCCCGCTCAGGAGGGCACACGTCAGCAGGCAGTTTCAAGAGGCAACAAACCAAGATCAATTAATATTTGGAGTCAAAAGGAGCTCTGTTTGCAGGAGAACGCTCAACGTGCAAAGCAATGCCTTTGTTTTAAGCTTCCCCATCATTTCATTAGGAATGAAATCCCAGGGCAGGCAGCCAAGCCCGGCCAGCACTCTGAGCACGTACCGCAGCTCCGGGCAGTGCTGCCTGGCCCCGGCACCACGGCTTCAGCCAGGGCTGCAGGACACACTGCTGGGCCACGGGGGTCAGGGGACCCTCACTCCATCTCCTTGGAAAGCCACCATGGCTGATGGGAAGGAACAGGCTGGGTGGTCAAGGGGCCTCTGCTCACCCCCCTGGCTGCCAAGTGGTCTCCTGGTGGAGAAGCGCCAAAGGGGAAACTGGGACTTTTGAAGTGAAGCTCTTTAAGTTCTTCTTGTAAAGAACTTCCTCAAGACAATTTATTCCAGAGCTACCATCTATGAAAACAGTATCTTTACCAGCATGTAAATGAGGCTCTCAAGATGTTGTGAGACTCCCAGGTTTAGGGTTCCTGCTGGCCCTTTTTGGGTACACAGACACACTAGAAGGGGGAAGCTAAGTAGTCAGGGAAGGGCAACAGCTCCCAGACTGACAACTACCCCCTCAGTACAGTAAATCATGCACAACACACAAGGCTGTGACCATGTCCACCCCCCTAAAATCCCAGAAAGGGTATTTTCTTCCTGAATCAGCACCCAAACTCCTCCTTCTAAAGACTGGTCACACTAGACTAGAAACCCCAGAGAGGGTTAAAGTATGAAACACTTCCACACAAGGGGAAAACCTCTGTGGAGGGGAGAAGGTGTAACAGGCCAGTGGGATGGGAAAACACCAACAGCTAACTCAGGAGCTGCACTTCACAGAAGCCAATTTCTTCAGGTAAATTCAGTTTGCAGTAATTTCCTTCATTCAGAAATTAAATGAGATTTCAAAGCTGACCAGACACTTGGTTTTGTTCCCATCTTCCCCCCCCCCCAAAAAAAAAGGGAAACTTTTCTTCCAGCTTGTGAAAAAATTTCTCCTGGCCCCCAAGGATGTCCCAAGAGCCACCCCCCTCCCTAGAGCCCTCTAGGCAGGAAGGCAGGCTTCTCCAAATTCACTCCTTTGAATTGCACAAAATTCTTGGAGATGAGCAAATACTTTGCCAGCAGTGCTAGAAATTAAGAAATTCTGGGAAAATAATTAATCCCAACACTCCAGGGCTCCAGTACCAGCCTCTGAGTTGTGCTGTAGGCTGAGGATCCTGGCTGGGCAGCTGCCAGCAGGGGATGTGTGCTCCATCCTTGGACACAGCAGGCGGATGCTGCTCTGCTCCTTGGAGCAGGACACTGCACCAGCTGGACCTGCCCTCTGAGCCCCTCTAGAAAGGTTGCCATGCTCCACACCAGGGAACATTTTATCTTCTTAGCAACACCATTTTATCTTCTTATTCTAAACAGAACAGTTCTCATTGACAACGTGCATGTTCAGAACCCCCCCCCTCAGCAGTATCATGCTCTACAAGATGTTTTTGAAGGTCTGTTTAAAGAGAAAGAACTTCTTCACCATAAGGACAGTCAGACATTGGAGGAGTCTCCCAAGGGAAGTGGTGGATTCCCACACATTGGACAGTTTGAAGTCTCAGCTTGACAGGGTGCTGAGCCACCTCATGTAAGCTATAGTAGTACCTAGAGAGATTGGACCAGATGATCCTTGAGGTCCCTTCCAACTTGGCATTCTATGAAGATGCTCCCATGGCCCTTAAATTATGTGTTAATGTGATTCAATCAAATATATTTCAATATATCACTTATGCACTGGATGTAAGCACCAGAGAGGCAACAGAACAGTCTTAATCCTGCTCACTACATTGATATCTTAATAGAAATTTCTGCCAGGTACAAGCTTCATGGGAAATAATCCTAGAGGACTGACTGATACCATGCTCTTCACTGGAGGAGAATTCATGAACTATGTGTCTTGGGAGGGTATAAACAATGAGATGTGACCTCACTGAGCACTGAGGGGTTTTTTATTTATTCACTGTCTTTATGCTGCAACTGAAAATAAAACTAAGAGACAACCTTCTAAGAGGCTTTAATAGCAGTTGGGAATGGATGTGGAAGAGATGGGAAACAGGGCTGTGAGAAGGGAGAACTGGGGAGTGGATGATCACACTGCTGGGTCTAGTGGATCAATCATAGAATGATTTGGGTTGGAAGAGACCTTAAAGATCATCTAGATCCAACCCCCTGCACGGGCAGGGACACCTCCCACCAGCCCAGGTTGCTCCAAGCCCCATCCAACCTGCCCTTCAACACTGCCAGGGATGGGGCAGCCACAGCTTCCCTGGGCAACCTGGGCCAGGCTCTCACCACCCTCATAGTGAAGAATTTCTTCCTCATGTCTGACCTAAATCTCCTCTCTTCCAGTTTAAAAACATGGCCCTTTGTCATCAACCTAGAGGGTCAGTTTGTTTGGTCACCAGTGGTACAAACCTGCAGGCTATGGAAGGTGAAG